AGATGAAACTGCTTAGTATTTACCTTTTCAATTTGGCCCACTGTGTGGATAATAAATAAATTTACTTATTTCCTCAAGCTTATCTGTAGTGGAGAATGTCTTTTTTGAGCATACAGTTTATTTTTTTTAAGAACTTGATAGACGAAAAGGATTTAATGACTTTGATTCTCCTTTAAATTGGTAGTCATGTCTAATTTTCTTATAGGTCCTTGAATTTATATGATGGATATAAATGATTTGTCCTTTAAGTTTTTGAAAATTCTGTTCAATTTCTTACAATGCAGATGTATTTGACCTAGACTGGGATATGACCCTTGGATAATAATTTTGAGTAAACAATAATTTTGAGGAAACAGAGAGAAACAGTTCTCTGTGTCTGCTGGGTATTACTTTGTGTATTGTTTGCATAGTTTTCTTTTGGGATTTTAAAAGCCATCTGTTGTTTAAGGGAGTTGAAATTATCAAATAGATTCAGTGCGAAGTTTGAATGCAGAAGAAAATTTGCAGAGATGAATAGAGAATTTAAAAGAAGAGCTGTGCTGTCATGACTAAATTATTAAGAACAAAGATTCCTTAGTGAAGTGATATATACAAATATGCTTTAGAAGCATAAAAAAACTGATAGCTAAGCCTTATCAATATTAATGAAATAACTCGAAGAACAGAAAAATCTCACGTTAAAAATTGTCACGTCTGTCCAAAGCAGTCTGATAACTTCTTCATGTTATGAAGGTAGTGGATAGTCTACTTTGACCTCTAAGGTTTTGGTTGTTGTTTTCTGCTTTGTTGAGGTACTGTTGTATATTATAGGACAGTATTATCCATTGCAGCTTTTTGAATAATTCTGAGTTTTTTTCTCTTTATAATATAAAACTGTGTTCTGGAGAAAGCTTATAGATAATCACAGTTTGGTTCAAAACAAGTTTGGTTCTGATAGGTTTGTGTTTTCCCAGATTTTTATTAGCCATTATTATATTCCTTGTGTCTTAGTGATACTGTCTGAATTTCTTTTCTTTCTTTTTTTCTTTTAAAGATTTTATTTATTTATTTGAGTGAGAGAAAGAAAGAGAGAGAGAGCGAGAGCACGAGCGGGGCAGGGAGAGAGAGGCAGAGGGAGCAGGAGAAGCAGGCTCCCCGCTGAGCAGGGAGCCCGACGTGGGGCTTGATCCCAGGGCCCTGAGATCATGACCTGAGCCGAAGGCAGACTTCTAACCGAGCCACCCAGGCGCCCCACTTTGGCCTCTTTTGCCAGCTCTGTTACTTATTTTGTTATCTTGAATAATGACCTTGATCACTGAATGTCTGCTTCATTATTTATAAAATGAGAAAAGGGTGAAAAGTAAGAAAGAGTACATAAAATCCCTGGCACAATATTTGACATAATCTTGATGTCCAAGCAATGTTCTTACCTCTTTTTCAATGTCTTGTACATATCTTTTATGACTTATAATATTGTATTTTTTAATTTAAAGAACTGATCAGATAATATATCTACATAGTAACAAAATTGAAAGAGTAATAGAAAACATTCAGTTAAAAGTAAGTGGAAGATTAAAAAATAAGTGGAAACAAAGACAACATTTTCTTGTAATGCTGTATTGTTTATCTTATCTTTCATTTTTGGTCCTCTGTGCCTGGTACAGTGAATGTATGTTGAATGAATACATGAATAAGTGCTCAGCTTGAAATTAATAAAGGGAAACTAAGGCCTGGAAAGCTGGTGATGTCTAGAAGGTAGATTAAGAGTTGGTGACAGGATTTAAAATTAAGTAAAAGCCTAAAATAGAGAAATATGTTGGTGAAGATGGGAAGGATCTTAGGTATGTTGGGACTTTAAGAGACCTTTATTAGATGTAAAAGTGACTTTAATTTTATATACAAGAAAATGTTGAGGTAGCAGAAGGTTACTGTGATACAACCATAAACTGTTCTTAGTATTTTTTGTGTATATGCTTAAAAAAATATGCCTAAACATTATTGTTCTTATGCCTCCAGAGGAAGTTTGGAAGGGAAGAGAGAACAGAAGAGTTATAAAGCTGTTCTAGAAGACCCAATGTTGAAGTTTTCAGGACTGTACCAAGAGACATGCTCTGACCTTTATGTTACTTGTCAAGTTTTTGCAGAAGGGAAGCCTCTGGCCTTGCCAGTGAGAACATCCTACAAAGCATTTAGTACAAGATGGAAGTAAGTTGTTGTCTTGCATATGGTGGGTTTCAGACTATTCTCCCATTTCTTTATAGGTGTTGTAAGTATGATTTGGTAGGCATTACAGAGGAAATTTTTTAAAAAATTGTATTTAATACCTATAAACATTGATCCAGTAGTTTATTTATTTATTTATTTAAGGTTTTATTTATTTATTTGACAGAGACACATCTAGAGAGGGAACATAAGCAGGGGGAGTGGGAGAGGGAGAAGCAGGCTCCCCGCAGAGCAGGGAGCCCAATGTGGGGCTCGATCTCAGGACCCTGGGATCATGACCTGAGCCAAAGGCAGATGCTTTACGACAGCCACCCAGGCGCCCCGATCCAGTAGTTTAAAGCAGCGACCTACCCAGATGGGATAAAGTATTATATATAGTAGTATTGTAAGTACTATTTAGGTAGAAGTGAATTTATGTTTGTATTCAGTATATTGACATATTTTTGTAAGAACTTGACTGATTCACAAAATGACCCAAACCAAAAATACACGTGTAACATCTTTACATTTTCTACCACTCTATGCCCTGAACACGTGAACATTTCTGGATAATCTGAAATGTTGTCCAGCTTGATATTTGGTGCTCAGATTTGATGAAATCTCTCAGACAACAGAAATATCTGTTGTCATCTGTTCTGATCAGATTTTTATTATTATTTTATTTTATTTATTTATTTTTTTTTTAAAGATTTTATTTATTTATTTGAGACAGAGAGAATGAGAGCCAGAGAGCATGAGAGGGAGGA